AATTGTATGCTCTCCTGTAGTGGTTCATTGAACCACAATACTGATAAGTGATTAATAAAAGTCAAAAGACCAAAAAGATCACCTTAATATTAAAAAAAAAAAAAGATAATAGAGTTAGTGATTTGAGCTTTGTTTTACTATTTTGACTCTACTCTATATCATCTATCTATCTTTTATATGTATATAAACTAATAAATCATATGTATTTATCAATTTGTATAAACTTTTTCTTAAAGTTTTCACTTTTAGAACTGTAATATTATAAAAATAATGAATTGCAAATTGTATGATTTGATTAATTTGATTGGCTAATAATTATTGATCTATGAATCTAGCCAATCAGACAAGTTTCTGCCTATGAGATTACAAAAGTAGATTTTTAAGAAAGCTGTCTCCTAAAACTAGAAAAACAGGTGCTGTTATAAATCTGAAGTAAATTAAAAAAATTGTTATAACTAGTCACATAAACAAAATTCAGCTAGTATGTATCATGTAATATAGCATGATCATATAGGCAGATAGACAAACAAAATCCAACTCAGATATCTAGTATACATCATGTGATAAGACATAATCACATGAATAGACCAAAGACCCAGAAAAAATATTAATCTATTTAGATCAATATAAATCAATATTTTTGGATTAAATTATTAATAAATCAATAATTTTATAATTTTTGCTGTCATGTAGCATTATATATTAGCAATAACCAGAATTATAAATAGCACTAGCCAAAATTTAATAATACCAAATTCAAATTAGATGTCACAATCATTAAAATATAAAAGACTAATGGTCTTTTTTTTAATTTAAATTTAAAAGTAGACAAAGGTTATTTAGTAGTCATTTGCTAATTTTGGTTATGTAAACCAGTATTTTATGTATCAAAATTTTTGGTATCTTATCTCATATTGATTCAGAGGTATTATAAATCAAAAAAAAAATGCCACTATAATGAACTATTATATATACTTATGCACAAGAATTTTCTAATGATTTTTTTGTAAATACTAGCTTTTTGATATGCCATTTTTGCTGTCACTCAGTAAATTAAAAGTTAAAATTAACTATTATAACTCATATTAATATTCACACATATAAAAATTTAAAAGCTAAAACATATAATTCTTTAAATAAAACCTGACAATCTACTATAAACTCTATTGTAAATGCTAATAGATTAAGAAAGGTTATAATTAATAATTTAATTAGTGTATTTATTCAAGTTAATATTTTTTTAAAAAAGGTAAATAAGCTTAGACCATGGTTAAGAAAGTATTTGCATGAAGATAGAAGTATTTTATTGGCTAATACATTGCATTATGAATATTTTTCTGAATTTTTTAAAAATTATTTAATTAAACTTAAAGAAATTTTTAGTAATAAAAAGGTTTCGTTAATAGTTGATAAAACTACTGATAGTAAAACATGAAGTGTTGTCAATATTTTGTTTAATTAAATTTTTTTTTTTTTGATATTCAACTAGCCTCTTTTGGGCCTAGGGTTTTATTCAGTAAATTGGACATAGAGACTTGT